CGTACGCACAATTTAAGAACAAATCTGTGCGTACGAACGGTTCTTGCATGAGGCCCATTGATCTAAAATTTGGTGTTGTGTAGCTGAGAGTTATTCACAAATATAGTGTATAAGATTGTGCATAATATTAGGTTTTAAATTTGTCCAAAAAGGCTCCCTCCCTGTCCTTTCTCAATATAACATGATCTTAGTTTAAAATGTTGACATAAAAGGCAGAGGGTGAAAAGCACTTCTTAAAGGGCTACAAGGTCTTTAATTTAATTTTTTTTTTAGTCTTTGAACTTTTTTTGCATTATGTTTTAAGTTTATAATCTGCCTTTCTGGATGCAACAGAGACAAAACTTACAAGATAAACTTCTACCACTGATGAGTAGTGAGTCTGTTCCTGTTGATGGCTGATATTTTCAGCACATTGCTTATCTTTAACATTACAGGCATGTCTTCTGTAAAAAAAATGTTTCATTCAGCAACAGCACTTAAATGAGACACACTGCCATTTTGATAAGACACTTCTCACAGCTTCTCTCCTCTGCGATGAGGCATGATTAGAAGATGCAATTTGTTTAATCTGCTCAGAGGATTTAATAGGACTGATATGGCCACTAACAGATTAGGAGGTAATGTTTTACTCTGCCAGCTGAGACTGAAAGCACAACTTCTCCCGGTGCCCAAGGTGAGCTTAGCATAAGCTGGCAAAAAAAAGCTTTTCAAGTTGGTTTGAGTTGAACACAAACTGTTTTTATTTATTTATTTATTTATTTTCTGAAAAGGTCCAACGGTGCTGCTTTCTTGTATTCTGAGCACATTTTGTTGGATTTAACCAGGTGCCTCTTTTCTGGCAAACATCCCAGGCACTAGTCAGCAACCTCTCCAAGAAAATCCTCCATCCGTGGGAGCAAGTTCTCAGCGATTAGACCCTTTCCGAAGGAGGCAGCGAGGATTATCGTCACATGTAAAATTCAGTGACAAACACAGCTGCGTGAATCTGAGAGTTAATTATTGAGGCGGGTGTCATACAGTAGGTCAAGCTTTTTTTTCTGCTGATAGTTTCATGAAAGCGGCTTTAATTAATCCTCAGGTTTGGACATAAAGAGTGTCGTTCAACATAGACAACAAACTAGATTCTGACAAAGTCTGGAGAAGAATCAGGGTAAAACACATTAAGGGTGGCAGTCAGATGCAGAGGCAGAAAGTCTGCTTTAGCACCAATCAGGTTCTCAGCTGCACCCAATCAAGGACAAGCCTCATGCCTCCAAGCAGTCCGTGTGACGTCCTGATCGGATCCAGCACTCGGCTTACTCCCACTGTTTTTAAAACCTCTGGGCTTGCTTGAAAGAATGAAATGATCAAAATGATCTTCAGTGTGCATTCAGTGTTTTGGAGGCTTGCCAGTAAATGTAACAGTTTCTTTTCTTTTATAAATTTATTTTAACTTTTTCACTGTTTCCCTCCCGAAACCCTGTTCGCCTAATTGATTGCCTGAAACTTCACAAATACATTAAACTGCAGGATTTAATCTAGTGTGCCATGCCCAGGACATTAAATATCAATTACGCGTCGCTGAATGATCTGCAGGCGCTGTGTGGGGCGGTCCAAATTTAGACACCAACATGATAGTGGGACAGAGTTCTTGTTTGTTTTTGTTTTTTGTTAAACAGCAGTGTTTTCTATGTGTGCTGCAGAGAGGGGTGCACCTTGTTGCTTTATTTATCTTTTCTTTCTTTTTCTCATAAATTTCTGATGCAGTTAAAGTGCAGAAAAGCAACCACAATCCCTGGGACCAAAGCAGCAACTACTGCAACCCCCCACACGCCAGCCACAGCAAGACGTGGAGCAGCCCAAGCCACCCACACAACCAGCAGGACCTCTGCAAATGTAAGTTATCACATGTGACAGCTCTGCTGCTGGCCACACTATTTAACAGGAGCCTTTTTTTGTCCATCAGCACAATTGTTAAATCTGGATCTGTGATGTTTCGCCTCTCGGTGGTTGATGAGTTTTGCTGTAGCAGCTTTTTTTCTTTCTTTTATTTTTTTTTTTCATGATGAGGATAATGTCTCCTTTCAGCTCTGGTGGGTGGGGGCTTTTCTCCCTCCTCCACAGCCACATCGGGCTTCAGCAGCCAAGGCAGCAACACGCTGCCCTGCCCTGCAGCTCCTGTCGCTCCCGTCAGCCCTCGTGGCTCCACCGGCAAGAGGAGGAACAGGAAGAAGGACCACAAGAGTTCATGTATGACACATCCTCCTCCTCCTCCTCCTCTTCATCATGTTGTCTTGATGTGTCAAGCTCAGTCAGATCAATAAAGAAAGCTCATTTAAAGGTGCTCATTGCAAAGTCATGAGGACCAGTCAACAAAAACGTATATAAAAAGATCTACACTTATTTTTTTCTTTTATCAATAGTTATTGTGTTCTTTAAATAAAAAACTTGTAACAAAACTTTGAGAATGGCTGCATTTGTTTACATAAAGAAATGAAGTGACCAAAACTAGGTCAACAATCATGGAAGAGATGTTTAGGATCAATTTGGAGAAAAAAAAACTGTAATGACCAGTCTAGAAGTTTTGCAAAAGCCATGTGTGTATGAATACAATACAATACAATACGACAATACTTATTCTTAGCTTTTTGGGTTTTTTTTCCTCTGCTTTTTAATTTTTATTTTGTTTCATCTTTAGCAGCAGATTTATTCTTACCTTTCCACTTAAATGTCTTCTCATCTCTACACTATTTCTGCCATATTTATTAATCTACATAATAATGTAGGTCAGTCCTATGGCTCAATCATTTGACGGTATTCTAAGACCGAAACTGACACAATAAAAATAAAAACAGACATGAATGGGCCAATAAATAAATTCATTTAAAATACACAAGTTAATTTTAAAAATGAGAATATAACCTCCATGTTTTATAATTTAATTGACCTTCATATGTATTTTTCTAGCTTAGTTCAGATCGGCAGTGTTGTTCAGAAGAGTTTTTATCAGCTACGTCAAAAAGCAAAGGTGAAATCAATCTTGGCAAGATCTGACTTGGAAAAATTAATCCATGCTTTTATCGCAGTTCATCTCGATTATTGTAATTCACTGTATGTTGACATTAGTCAGAACTCTCTCTCCCGCCTGCATCTTGTGCAGAACTCTGCTGCTCGCCTTTTAACCCAGACCCGTAGGTGTGAGCATGTCACTCCCATCCTGGCATCCCTACACTGGCTCCCTGTTCACTACAGAATTCAGTTTAAGCAGCTGCTGATGGTTTTCAAATGCTTGAACAATCTTGCTTCTCCATATCTATCTGAGTTGCTTCAACCCTACTGCCCACCCCGATCCTTAGGATCAGCTGATCAGCTGCTGCTGATCATCCCTAAAACTAGGCGGAAACTTAGAGGTGACAGAGCATTTTCCGTTGTCAGTCCCAAGTTGTGGAACAGTCTTCCCCTGAGTGTCAGACAGGTTTCATCCCTTCCTGTTTTTAAATCTCTTTTAAAAACACACTTTTATTCTCTGGCTTTTAACACAATATGATTTTGTTTTATATTGGCAACTTGTGCTCACCTGCCGTGATCCTGATTTGTGTTTTATGTTTCTTTTATTGTCTTAACTTGTCTTACTGTACAGCACTTTGGTTGCCCTTGTGGTTTATAAAATGTGCTTTATAAATAAAGTTGATTAATTGATAGTTCCAAGAAATTATATATTTTGCAACAATTAAAATTTTACTGCCTATATTTTACTTGTAGATGCATTTGTGTCAATTTTTTTACTGAATTTTTTTTATCATTTTTTTCTTCCTACAAGTCTATATATTAATATGTTTTTTTTTTTCAGTTTCATCTTTGTACTTTATGCATTTCTGCCTCATTATGCAAATAAGGTTGGCTGCCCGTCTTGGGTCAGCTCCTCTACTATTGTTCAAAAGACAGGAAGGAGTAGGATCCATGTGCAGATTAATTGTGCATCCTTGTGCCTCAGTTTAGCAACTGAAGTGTAGTTACATATAGAGCAGAAAGGTGGACTGTCTTGGATTTAAGGGAAGCTGCAAATAGACTTCCTCTCAAATAAGAAGCGTTCGCCTGAAACAACCAGCAGAGCAGGCATGCACAATAAATTGAAAAAAATGCAGTAATAATGATAATGATAATAATAATGATAATAATAATAATAATGATAATCATAATAATAATGAGACAAATGCATCTACAAGTAAAAGGAAAAACAAAAAATTACATATTTTGAAAAAAAATATTAAATTTTAAATATGTGCTGAAATTATAATTTGCTGGAACTAAGCTGGAAAAGTAAATACGAAGGTCAATGAAATTATAAAATATGAGGTAAAGTTCTCCTTTTTAAAAGGTTCATTTTAAGTGTATTTAATTATTGGGCCATTTATATATTCCTGCTTTTATTTTTAATTGTCAGTTTTGGTCCTGCATAGATAACTGCATTTCACGATTGCTTTTAAATATGTCTGTAAAACTACTGTATTAAATGCTTTCAAACTGCACCATTTGATACAGTTCAGGGTAACAGTTGTTATATTATATAGTTTGCAATGAGTACCTTTAACACTTGTAGAAATCCAGACTTTTACACACAGTTTAGTCCCCCTCTAATTTGCTAGATATGTCTAGTTAAACCAATGCAGAGTAAACTCAGAGGTCTGTATTTGTTGTTACTTTGTAGTGCAGGGTTTACTTAAAGTGAACAAGGTTTTATCTGCATTAGCTGACTGACTGCTGCTGTGAACACAACCACGACATGACTCAATCTTTTCCCATATTCCTGAACCATCTCGTGCTCCAGTTTTCTGCCACTTCTCCACTGATATCTCTGTGTGATGTGTCATCCCTCCCTCCCCTCTGCCTCAGTGTCCCTGTCGTCCAGTTCTGTGGGCCCAGGGGGGCAGGTTTTTCACGTGGAAACTAGTGAAGTTGTCCTGAGGGGCGATCCACTCACAGGTTTTGGGATCCAGCTGCAGGGGGGTGTCTTTGCCACAGAAACGCTGTCTGCTCCCCCGGTCATCCGCTTTATTGAGCCAGACAGCCCAGCTGAGAGGTAACACACACTCAGACACCCAGTCACAACCTGAGTGTTGTACAGGAAGTCACCTTGAACCCATGGTGCTAATCATTCAAGACAGCATCAAGGAGAGGGGAAATGTTTATTTTTACCATTTTGACTTTTAAATTTAAAAGATACTATTTTACTCTTTATTTAACTGACAGCTGAACTTTATTAAGATAAGCATTGTTTTTTCTACACCAAAGGTTCTCCAACTTTTCTGCTTTTTACCTACAAAGTAAAAGTTGCAGAGACCTGTGACCCTAAATATTTACCTTTTTTTATTTAAAGAATAAAACCTGCTAATGAGCAATTTATCAAAACAATACCAGTTAAAGCTGTATAAATTGTGATTGGAATTTATATGCTCTTATTTTGACAATTTTGTTTTCAACACAAATAGAAAGTCAGAGGAAATGAATGAAGGATTCACATTCATAAATGACACTGAATTAATTCGGTGTAATCATCTTTTCAAAAGGAATCCTGTAAACTCATGAGCAGATGACTGGAGGGGACCTCTGGTTGTTTTTAACGTTGTGGTGTCTCGTGCTTGTGCAGAATGAAATAAGAGTCCGGCCACCTGTTCAACAAGCTGAAACGTGTAGAGGAGTGATCTTTACACCTGCTCAGATTCAGAGTTATTATTTACAGAGACACAGTTGTTGGAATCAACTGAGCTGCTGAGTGAACATGTTAAACTAAGACAGCAGATTATTTATTCTGCTTGTGTACCACTGACACATTCAGAGTGGTGCCTCCATCACTGCTGTGAGTCTGCATGGACCCTGGGGTTGAGTTAACTTAATAAATACTGAGTAGTTGTTGTTATTATTATAATAAAGTCATTACATTTTAGCTTTAGGTCCTCTAAGCTCTAATTTATTTCATAACATATCATTCTGTCAAAATGCAACAAAACTGATATGTAATTGTGTGCATGTTTGTCTGTTAGCAAAATATCTCATGAGCCACTGGTATTTCAAGGAAACTCTCAAAGAAATTATTATATGAATGTCTACACCTGATTAGCTTTTTGAGTCAACTCGATTCAAGATGGCTTCCACAGCTGTTCAACCTTAGCAAACCCAAATGTCTGCAGCTGAGTCACATTTAGAGGTGTTGCCCTAAGATTTGATGTGGTAGCAGCTAAGAGTCATCCTCATCACCTAAACTGAGCTCTTAACAGATCAGACAAGACCTTTTGTTTAAATTTGTACCATGCAAAGTAGCAGGCGACGAGTTCTAGCTGAATATGGTTTAAAGAAAAAAAAGCTGAAAGAGCAGATTAGGTGGTAGAAATGGCACGAAACTTTTAGAAGAAAAAATATGAAGCACCCCTGATTATGTACAGTGACCCTGATCTTCCTCATTTGCCAGATTTTATTCATGTTTAGATGAACATATTGTGCATTACTTTAAGAGTAGTGTGTGGGCGNAATTTGAAGGGACAACAGATGACTAAAGCATAAAAAGACATCTGTTATGTCTGATTTCCACAGCTATGCTGCTGGCAGGCTGCAACAGGGGTCATTACAATGTTGGTCAGTTGGTCAGTAGGCCCCGCCCCACTGATGGGAATAAGTTTGGTGTTTATTTCAGATCAGGCGTGTGAGCGACGAACACTATCATGGAAATGGTGTGAGTGGGTTCTTTGCGAGTTCAGAAGATCTCATTGTGGCTCAAACAGCGGTATATTTAGCACAAATTTTTGAATTGCTCTCAGTTTTCCAATACTTAAAGGCAGCAAGTCGTGTATTAAGACATGATGTCTACATGATGTATCTGTAATTCGCAGTATAAATGAGTTTGGTTTGTAGAATCTGTACAGTGAGTTTGAGCAGAGGGCGTCCCTCAGGTTCTGTAACATGATAAATCCAGCATCAGTTGAACAGGAGTGACTCAACTATTGCAGGCAACTGAGATGTTTGGTGCCTAAGCCTCCACACAAGGTCGATGAGCTGCAGCCTTCAGTGAATTAATCTCAGTTGACAGTGCTTTAGCATTTTACTGCACAATTAGGGGGCTGATTTGATGTTTGTGTTCTCCTCTTTCATATGTATTGTGAATGAGTTTGAAGTTCATTTAAACTCGATAAGAACAGGTTTGTTTGAAGCTGACAGCTGCATTTTTTTAGTAGGTTCAATCAACATCTGTGTTGTAAATCAATACTGGGTTTTTTACATTAAAATAAATATTCTTTTTACATCTGGATTACTGTAAAAAATGATCAGGTCCACTTTCATAAAATAAAGTGCCCTACAGTCAGAAAACTATTTTAAAAGTCCCAACTCAGTCACACTGCAGGATGTTTTTTTTTTTCTATTTTACACAGTTTTTTTTAACAATTTATTTCAAACATGGAAAACAAAATAAAACAAGGATAAAAAACGATAATAATGAAATTAACATATTTGAAAAGGAATGGGAAGACACAGTTGAAGCCACGAGTCACATTAAGAAAGAGTAAGACCATGAAAAGTTTTAACTTGTGAGATTACCAATTCAAAAGAAATATTCAGTGATATCTGTGAAGCACACTGAGTGATGTTCAGAAAAGAAAGTTTGTCCACCACCTCCATGTGTTGTTTCTCTGCCAGCACAGGGAGCAAAGTTTGTGTAGTTACTCTTACTGCCACAAGGGGGAGTTAAAGGTTCTAAACTTTACTTCCAAAAGCAAAGGATTCAAAATGTACATTAGATTCAGATAATTATGAGCATAAATGACACACTTGTAGCCATTTTGGTTAAACCTTGAACATTTTATTTTTATTTGGCCCATATTTAGTCATGTTAGTCAATTGAGAACAAATTCTCATTTACAGTGACAACTTGGCCAAGAGGCAGCAAATACAGGAGCAGGAGAGCACCAGATGAACGTATAAACAGCTGACAATGAAACATCAAGTTGCACAGACCATGTGAAATGACACAAAGAGAGGTCAGGACAGGTTCGTGGTACAAGTGATCAACAACTGAGATTAAAGCAGAAATTGTTAAACGCACATGCAGCAGTTATGAAGGAGTACTCTCACTGAGAGTTTTTAAACTATAAATTCGGGACAAAAGAAGTAAGTTGTAGATTTTGTGGATGGTATCAGTCATTAGTAGCAGGACACTGAAATCATGAACGCCCAAAGCAGGTGTAGAAAATGAAATAATGCACAATGTTGTGCAATTTTGAGATAACTCGCATGAACTTGCAAGATCTGTTTACAACTGGAGTATGTGCCGTGAATGACTCTTGGCTACAATAACAAAAACATTTAGCTCAGTATCAGTAATATCCACTGAGGTGTAGCCTTTTTAATTTTTTTAAATTTTTTATATATGTTAAGGTTGATTGCTGTGGTGGCCATTATGTCTTTGGATGACTCCAAAAGTTAATCAGGTGTAAGCTGGGGCTATTTTATTGCAGTTTACTCAGTTTTTTGTGATATGCTTGTTTCACAGGCTGTTTTCTCAATGATGAATTTGCAATGTATGGTGCAGTCCTATTGCTGATAAACAGTACATCCAATGAATATTTTCTGAAATATTAAAGTTTGTTCAGAGGGTAATTAGATGTTTTGCTAACAAACAGTTGTCTACAATAATTAATGGCAATGCTTCATCCACAGGTCTTGTATGATCAGTTAGTGCTCAGAGTACAAGTTGGAGATCAGTCTCAGCTGCACCAAATTATTACTCAGTATTTGTAAAATTGACTCCGTTATTGCCATTTCTGTTTGTTCATCTCACTTTGCTGTGGCGGCCATCTTGAATCAGTTGTAGATTAGAAAGTTTAATAATAATTAGATATTTTGCTAACAGTACAGAGTAATAAACACATGCTGGCACGAGCAAAAGCATTATGGCTCAAGTTTACGAGAGAGATGCTATGTTTTTGTCTTCCACAGTTATTCCAATACATTGTGTATATCATTAACTTTTTCAACGTTTCTGTGGTTTTGTTTGTTTGTTTATTTTTTTATCGTGAAGATGTGGTTTGCTGCAAGTTGGAGACAGGGTGCTGTCCATCAATGGCATCCCGACTGAAGAAGGCACTTTGGAAGAAGCTCACCAGCTGCTTAGAGACTCTGCTCTGGCTAACAAAGTAACCGTGGAGGTTGAGTTTGATGTAGCAGGTATCACAAATGAGTTTATTTATGGTTTAGATCATTTCAGTCTTTTCCCATTTACTGATTTTTTTAATTTTTATTTCAAACTGGAATCAGAGTCTGTGGTTCCGAGCAGTGGCACCTTCCATGTTAAGCTCCCCAAGCGGAGAGGAGTGGAGCTGGGCATCACCATCAGTGGTGAGTTCAGGACGATCAGCAGGGGTCAGTGTTGCTCGGGGATTCTGTGAATTTCAGTTCTGTGATCCATAAAACGTAGGCTTGTCAAAAAGTGCATAGCTCATTACCTCCGAATAATACTAGTCTGTACCAGCACTCTTCATTAACCTTTCTTCTGACTAGAAGGATACACAAACAAGACGCCAACAAAAGGAAATGCAAACAAAACCATTTTGAAATGATTAGCGGTTATGTGGTTTGGTCCTTATGTTCTGTTTTACCCACAATTTTCTTCTGTTTTACCAGCAAGTAAGAAACCTGGCAAGCCCCTGATCATCTCTGACATCAGAAAAGGAAGCATTGCACACAGGTGTGTATCATCACGTCACTGCTGAATGTTTCTCCCAGCATCAGGAGACAGATTTGTGTGTCTGCTGTGGAATAACAGTCCTAATAGGATTGAGTTATTAAAATTAGATCAGTGGGGCAGATACATTTCAGAAGGGCTTAGTGTTGATGAGGTCGAGGGTGAGGTTAGGGTCACCTCCCACGGATCCCAGGGAGATGCAGGACTAATAGGATTCTGATGCAGGTCTTGGTTAACAGTTGTGATGCTCCTGCCTCTTGTGTTCGCTAGAACAGGCACTCTGGAGCCCGGAGACCGTTTGCTGGCCATCGACTCGGTGCGTCTGGAAAACTGCACCATGGAGGACGCCATGCACGTCCTGCATCAGGCCGAGGACATGGTCAAGCTGCGCATCCAGAAGGACGAGGACAACATTGGTACACGAGTCCCTCTACAACTATATTCACATTAAATTTAAAGAATGAAGTGAAGCTCGTACATTAGTTCAAAAGCATCAAAAGAAATGAGTCCTTAAAGCAAAAAAGCATTGTCTCCTAATTTTAAAAGCAATTGTATTCACACAGTGTCAAATTAAATCTTATGAAATACATTTAAAAGCACTTACAGCCAGTTGACTGAAATTAAAGTATAATTATACAAAAGCAAATAAAATTTAAACTAGCTTGAAGAAATGACTTGGATGTCAAAGTTGGAAAGTGTGTTCTGCTGATGCTCAGTTTTTGTGTTGGAGATGAGTGTCAGCTACTACCACGCCAAATTTGAGCTCATTACCTGTCAAATCGGCTGAGTTGCAGCACTTCCTGTGTTTGATATGGTCACTTAGCTGTGGCGGCCATCTTGATCCCTTTTCATGGCAGCAGGGGAGAACAATAGTTCAAATCCACAAACGAAATCAATTTAAGAGGTTCTACCTAAATCAGTTATTACAGATGTTTTGACACCTTGCCAAAGATGCGTTCAGCCTTTATCTCTTTATCAAAATAATGAATGAATAATTACAAACTTTTATTTGGAATAGGAACAAAGAATTAAACAGAGTTTTAATTATTCAAATGGACTTGTTTGGACAACCTCTGAGCAGACATGGTTATGCCCCCCTTGTGCTCTCTGGTGCCCCTCAGGTTGGGAACCACTGCTCTAAACACCAATTTTCTTGTTTAAATCTTTATTTACTCGCATTTGGTTGTTTCCCCTTTTAGATTTCAAGCTGAAGGATGTTGCATAAGTTTTTTTTCTTTTGTATGATGGAGCTAAATCATTTAAAGTTCTAATTCCTAGCAGTAACTAAATAGGTTTGCATTCTTCATTGAATGCATCTTGTATTTGTTTCTGCTGTAGATGAGTTGGAGATGTCAGGCTGCATTATCTACACAGTTGAGCTGAAGAGGTACAACGGACCTCTGGGCATCACAATTTCTGGCACAGAAGAGCCTTTTGACCCCATCGTCATTTCTGGCCTTACCAAGAAAGGTCTGGCTGAGAGGTGAGTGAAGGACAGCAGGGGATAACTGGACGACGACGTGACGCCTCAATGTGAATGCAAATAGTGGCTTTCTGAGCATTTTTTCAATTTTATTTTTAAAGAATAAACGAGACAGTAAACAATGGCTGTCTCATCTCTTCCTGTAACAAGCAGCCTCTTTGTTTCTGTCTCAGCCCGGACTCTGGCAGCCTGACGGGTTTTCCCTGCTGGTACAGTCTGGTAGAGTCTGGTATCTTTGTGTTCCCTGCAGGACCGGGGCCATCCATATAGGAGATCGAGTCTTGGCCATTAACGGGGTCAGCCTTAAAGGAAAGCCGCTGAGCGAGGCTATACACCTGCTACAGATGGCCGGGGAATCCGTCACCCTCAAGATCAAGAAACAAGCTGACAGTATATATTCACCTTTTTTTAAATCATTTTGGTTTCAGTTTGGTAGGAATTTATTTCTGAATAAAACACGAAACAAAAATAGGTGGGGAAACTTAAATAAAATGATAGTATGAATAATAAGTTCAGGCAGGAATAAGCAATACTAATAATGGAACATTACCTTTTTTTCCCTTCTTGATTTAACGTTAGCTCTCTGCTGTGTTTGTTCAGATTCGGAGTTCCGGCGGCCTCCTGACAGAGAAGCCGGGTTTTTAAGTGATCCTGAGGATGAACTAACAGAATCTCAGAAAACCAATAAACACTCTGAGGTCTACTCAGCCACTGTGCCCAGCATAGACTCGGCCATGAGCTCCTGGGATAGCTCAGGGTTTGATGCAGGCTACATTAGCCAAGGTGACGCCCAACTCTTCACTCTCTAAGGTTTATGCTTATCTTTTATTTAATCAGAAACTTTTTAAAAAAAACTTTTTTTCTGTCCATTCTTTCACTAATAAAACAGTCCAGAGTCACAAAACGTACTTTTAACCCTGAAATAAAAATAACTCAAGTTTGAAATAAAACCTACATTTTAAAAACTATTGTTTTGGTTAACACTATGATGCCATTTATTCATGTTTTAACATGTTGGGATGAAAGAAAAGACAATTTTCCTGTTGATAAAATTTAAACCGTGAACTATGAGTCACAAGTCTGACTTGGCAGACCCAAACTTATAATGAGGGTCTGCTGGGAACATCTGACAGAGTCTCCTGTCAGAGTTCCTTAAAGCTCTGGATGTTGTGAGGTTGCGTTGGTTGATGCGACTCTACAATATCGTGTGGACATCGGGGGCAGTTTCCCTGGATTGGCAGACCGGGGTGGTGGTCCCCCTATTTAAATAGGGGGATTGTAGAGCGTGATCCAACTATAGGAGGATCACACTATTAAGCCTCCCTGGTAAGGTCTATTCAGGGGTCCTGGAGAGGAGTGTAGGTTGCATAGTCGACTCTCGGATTCAGGAAGAGCAGTGTGGTTTTCACCCTGGTTGTGGAACAGCGGACCAGCTCTACACCCTCAGCAGGGTCCTGGAGGGTGAATGGGAGTTCGCCCAACCWGTCTACATGTGTTTTGTGGACTTGGAGAAGGCGTTTGACCGTGTCCCTCGGGGACTCCTTTGGGTGGTACTCTGGGAGTATGGGGTACCAGGCCCATTGATACGGGCTGTTAGGTCCCTGTACGACCGGTGCCAGAACTTGGTCCGCATTGCCGATAGTAAGTCGGACTCGTTTCCAGTGAGAGTTAGACTCTGCTAAGGTTGCCCTTTGTCACAGATTCTGTTCATAACTTTTATGGACAGAATTTCTAGGTGCAGCCAAGGTGTTGAGGGGATCTGTTTTGGTGACCTTTACTGTGACTCGCATCTCTACTTTTTGCGGATGATGGCTTCATCAGATCGTGATCTTCAGCTCTCACTGGAGCAGTTTGCAGCTGAGTGTGAAGCGGTCGGGATGAGGATCAGTGCCTCCAAATCCGAGACCATGGTCTTGAGCTGGAAAACGGTAGGGTTCCTTCTCCAGGTCGGGGATGAGGACCTGCCCCAAGTGGAGGAGTTTAAGTATCTTGGGGTCTTGTTCACAAATGAGGGAAGAATGGAGCGGAAGATCGACAGGCGGATTGGTGCTACATCTGCAGTGATGCAGGCGCTGTACCAGTCTGTCATGGTGAAGCAAGAGCTGAGCCAGAAGGCGAGGCTCTTGATTTACCGGTCGATCTACTTTCCTACCCTCATCTATGGTCACAAGCTTTGGGTAGTGACCGAAAGAACAAGATTGCGGATACAAACGGCTGAAATGAGTTTCCCCCACAGGGTGTCTGGGCTCTCCCTTAGAGATAGGGTGAGAAGCTCAGTCATCCAGGAGGGACTCAGAGTAGAGCCGCTGCTCCTCCACGTTGAGAGGAGCCAGTTGAGGTGGCTCAGGCATCTGGTTAGGCTGCCTTCTGGACGCCTCCCTGGTGAGGTGTTCTGGGCACGTCCCACTGGGAGGAGACCCAGAGGAAGACCCAGGACACGCTGGAGGGACTATTTTTCTCAGCTGGCCTGGGAACGCCTTGGGATTCCACCGGATGAGCTGGTCTAAGTGGCTGGGAGAGGGAAGTCTGGGTCTCTCTGCTTAGGCTGCTGCCCCCATGACCCGATCCCGGATAAGCAGAAGAAAACAGACGGACTATGAGTCCTATCTATATTTTTAGTAAATTAATATTTTTCACTATTCTACTTTGGAGAACTGAGTAACATATTTCCATCCAAATAAATTGTTAGTGTAGGACCAGTTTTTTTTTTTTGAATATTAAATTGATAAAACTGAGATGTACTTATTTATTTTATTTTATTTTTTACTAATAAAGGCAGATTTTCATTTTATTTAAGGTTTCTTTTTAAAAGTCAAATGTAAGACTTTCATTATTTTTATTTTCAATTTTTGTACAATTTATTTGGTGACTGGTGTGAAATGTGTGCAGAATTTTTTTTTTCTCCCACCTCATACAAACTTCCTCAAGTGAGTCAAAAATGTAACATTTTAGATCTCAGAACAATGCTGTGTGTCTTAACAGGTTAAAACAAACTGATACATTTTACTCCCTTTTATTAAATGTATAATTATGTCTTCTAAATTTGGACCGAAAACCTGACAAATCTTTCTGCTTTTCTAAATAACGTGGATAATTATATTTATTTTTGGTCAAATCCACAAAAAGCCTTCTTAGAGGGACCAGGGAACCAGAAGCTAGAGACCTCATGTCTAATTAATTGGATTTATTCTTTTTTTGTTGTTGTTTTTAGGAACCTATCTGCACAAAACTTCTGATTTGCTGCTAAATCCACCTGAGTGGAGGCGTCCGAAGCACAAGAGCCACACCACCTCTGGCTCCACAGGTCTGTCCCATCAAACAGCGCTGTATGATGGGAGGATTACTGAGGATGAGTGGGACAAAATACCTGGGTAAGTGCGGAGGCCTGGAGTTAGTTTCCAAATGTCTCTATATATTCATCATTTTCTCCATATGGTTTGTTAAAAAACATGACTTTGCAAAAGTGTAATATGTGGAAAAGTGATCAGGGTTTACTGCCTGATGTAATTACCCACATGCTAAAGTCAATTCTTTTATATTATCAATCTATTAGAAGCTTTAATGATGTAATTTTATAGCTCTCTGTAGTTGATTACACCTAATCCTATAAAATAAATACTTAAGTGAAGATGATTATGGTGCAGTTAGGAAACACATTTAGTTACATTTGGTGAAACGCTGTGTTTTTGTGTGTTTTAACTACAGTTCAGAGAGGCAGAGTTTCTCTTTTAGTTTTTGTTTCATCACCGTTTATGTTTTGCTGCACTGTTCGAATGTTTCATCTGTTTTAAAACTCCAGTTGTTTGTTGCAGTACCTCCCTGTGAGTTTTGAACTTCCCGCTCCGTCAGTATTTATGTTGGTGTACCTTTTTTCAATCGAGTCACAAAGTCCTGGTCGGATTCATCACGCGCTGAAAATAGAAACTTAAAATCTTGAACTTCTCAAGATATTTGTCAGAGATGTTGAAGTATTGAGGAATATAAAGATCAAAAATGTATAATGGATACATTTATCGGCACTGGTTTGAACTGATGTCTGGTCAAACAGAAGAAAGAGCAGCTGTAGAGCTCTGGGTATCTCATAAAAAGTACTAAATGTGCTGAACAATGAGGTGAAATTACAAAGACTTTTTAAAAATAAATGTTTTTAAATAAAAATGGTTTAAATCTATTTAGTAGAATGGTAGATTAAAAGGGACAAATCTGAGGTAATCTGGGAAGTCTACAATGTTTAGTACTTGCGGAGAAGAGAATTAAACACGCTGTTTGGCCATTTCCAGCTGCTTTGACTGTATACTCATCTACTTAATTTTCCTCCCACATTGCAAAAGGTACTTAAAGTGCAAAAAAACTGCAGATGGATTTCTTTTCCCATGTGGAACACAGTTTCAGAGTATATCGGGAGGCTGGAACGTATTCTTGTCACGTTAATAACTCTGTCGGCATTTGACATTCAGAGTTTTTGACCTGTAAATTCCTTTAGCATACCATTCTTTTTTTCCCCCTAACTGCAGTTTCTCCACTGTTGCTTTTACGTAAATACCCAGGTGTGTCGATAATTGTGTCCACTATGCATTGTTTTCAGTGGTTCTGACCAAAGCTTGTCTTGTGTTGAATCTTGTTTTATTTTTACTGTTTTCCTTGTTTTTATAAAAGCTATCATGTGGTGTGTGTTTTATGTTCTGTGCGTTTCCAAATTTGTCTTTTTTTGTTTGTTTGTTCTTCTTTCTCAGGTATTCTTTCTCTCATCTGCTTTACTAACGTCTCGCAAGCTCTTTGGTGTTTCAAACAGATGCATCTTGTTCCTGTCACCCCCTATCCAAACAAACAAACTTTTCCTATAAAAAAACCCACCTCAGTGACTTAAAGGACACATCCACCTCTTGTCTTCCCTCATGCTTGACTTTCCTGAACTTTTGTGTTGTACACTTTGAATTTCCTGCTTTAATTATTTTTTATTTTTATTTTTAAATGGGTGACATTGCTTAAATTTGAAGGCTGCATCTAACCTTGCGGACTCCTTCATCGACTGTTACAAATGTACCATGACTCTTCCTGAGGAACTCCTCTTTCAAAGGGACTCTTCAGTTTTGAAGCAACCACCCCCCATCCAAACAAACAAACAAAAAACCTCCACATCCCATGCTGCTTTTGTAGGCAGCACCCACCTCCAGCCTTGCAGGGTTGCTCTTATGTTCTGGTTCCTGCGTTGTCGCAGATTCGTCAGCCCCCCTCATTGCCATGGGACCTTGAACAAGGACGACAGCTTCTGGTCCCAGGCCCTGCAGGACCTCGAGACCTGCGGCCAGTCGGAGATTCTCAGGGAGTTGGAGGTAGGTGGCAGGAGGAGCTTTCCCCCTCCATCTGCTTCACCCTCATCTATCCTCAAACTAAACGAACATACCCGAACAAGCATTTTAAACTCGTCAGCCTAATCTGTTAGTTAATCTGACGAGACGAACCAGGCACCTGCTAATAAACTGACCAAGAGTTTTACACACGGCCTTGGCCTCTAATCTAAGTTTGCCACAGAGATTATGCAGTGGGTTAAAATGTGTTCACCCCAATAACATTCTGTTTTCTGTTTTGTTGCCTTACAACCTGGAACATAAAAGGAGCTTTGAGGGGTTTTACTCTTTTGTTTGCTGAATAACTACAATATTGAGGATGCAAAATACAGTTTTATTGTGATTGTAAATAATGTATAACAATCATTTCAACCCTGGAAAACTCACTGTGTAGAGCCACCTTCAGCAACAGTTACAACAGCCGGTAACAGGTTGGCATCATGATCACTCAGTGGTTAGCACAGCAAGAAGATCCTGGGTTTGATCCCCAGTTTGGATCTAATGTCTTTTTGTGTGGAGTTTGCATGTTCTCTTTGTGCTTATGTGGGTTTTCTCCAAAACGTGCACGTCAGGTTGCCTTCAGGCCCTGGCCTCCTTTTACAAAAGAGATCTGTCACCCTAATAGGCTTTGCCTGATTAAATAAAGGTTAATAGGTCTCTTCAGGTATGTCTCTAATAACTTTGGTACTTTTGCTCCTGGAATATTTGTCATTTTTTTATATATAAAAAAAGATGCTTTACTGTCTAGGTTGAATGTATGCTGCTTTAGTATGATCTTTGATTCTATGAAATATTCTTGACTGGACTGATTGCTTTAACTAGACTATTTTAGGACAATTTATTGTGTTTTCTGTCCTGTGGGTGAAAGAAAACACTGGAGCGTTGCTGTCAGTGTGTTTAGGGTCATCGTCCAAAACCTCCACCTCTGTCTCAAATTTCCTTGAAGACTCTGTACTTTGCTTCAATCATTCTTTCTTGTATTCATGTCCCGGCTGATGGATAGACATCCCCACAGCATGATGCTGCCACCACCCTGCTTTACTTTGGGGATGGTGTTCTTAGCATAATGAGAGGTGGTAGCTTTGCCTCAGACATGTCCAGTTTGTGTAAAATGTTGGAGGGGTTTCTGACAGGACTTTTCATGGTCTCGTCCTGAAAGCCCAGCTCTGTGCAGCTTATATTGCTGCCATGAACAGATGCTTCCAGCTCAGCTCCATCAGGGTTATCTTTGTCCTCCTGGTTGTTTCTCTGATTAATGCCCTTCCTTGTCTGATTTGGGGGTTTTCATGGATGGTCCTTTCTTGGCAGGTTTACTGTGGTTACATAATCTTTTCATTTCCTAATGATGGATTTAATGGAGCTCAATGGGATGTTCAGGGTTTAGAAATTTTATTTTTTTTATAACACAACTCTTTTCCACTTCTCCACAACATTGACTCTGACCTGTGTGGAGAGAGATTTTATTTTGGTCTGTTTTCTTGGTGATAATCCTTACAACTTCAGAGTGTAAATCATCTGACACAGATTTAACAAATGATCTGGCTCATTGGTGTAATTTGCAAGGGGGGGTTAGAGGGGTTATGACCACCACAATAATTTGATCCAGTAAATATAAACCCCCCAATAAAATGACATTGTTTGCTCAAACGCAATAGAAATCAACTGGTGAAGTACACAACTGCAACTCTATTGTTGTAGTTCACCAGATAAATGCATACTCTTGGAAAATTGAGAAATTTAGATATCTCGTATAATACTATCCTAAAAGTGTAAAATGTTTCTTATGGTGCGTTCACACCAAACGTGATTTCAACATCAGGAGCCTCAGGTTTACATGCAAAGTCTATGGTGGACGCGCTTCAAGCAACATCGGGAAGGGCTGCGGCGCCTTAAGCGCGATTAGAGCAGCGCGATTTGAACGATTTGAACGATCTGAGCGTTCGACGTGCTGAGGCGCAAATCGCTGAAGTTAGAAAATCTGAACTTTTGCAGCTCGACGCGCAGCATCAACCAATCAGAGAGACTCCATTGTGTGACGTAGCGACATATTTCCCGACAGGACAGTTTACTGAATGATGTCCACTAACCTGAAACAGATGGAGAGGAGCTCTTAAGCTGAAATCGAGTGCCTGCAGTCGGTGTCCTGATCCGCAGCAATGCGTGGCAGCGACTCATCAGACTGGAAAAATAGTCCTGAAAGTGAGCTGTGAGCCTCTTCTCTGAATTATCTGGTGAATTAATTATGAATTAATTATCTGATGAACGTGACATGCTCTTGCTCTCTGTAAATAAAGCAAAGCCACTTCCTCGTCCGACATTAAACAGAGCCCAACAGAGGAGGGAGGGGCAGGGAGGCTGTTGCCGTGCAGCGCTTCAAGAGCTGTCCTGCGTCTGACCTCAAAGTCCACAAGCGACCAACTTCAGCGATGGCTGCGATTTTGAAGCTGAAATCGCGTTCGGTGTGAACGCAGCATTACTTTTGGAAAAAATGGTGAAAAAAGTAAGCCTTAATTGTTGAACTGACATAGAACAGAGTAAAGTACAAAGAAAACAGTAAAGTAAATCACAGTAAAAGCATTTCGATGTATTTTAACCCCAAAATGTCCTAAATCATTTAAGAAAAGTTAACTATTTATTTATTTATTTATTTATTTATTTATTTATTTATTTATTTTCAGTTCTAGAATAAAATTACAATTATTCAAGATTTGGTTGTTCCTTTTTTATCTGTATTAACCTGAAGTACTTTGCGTAAGCCTTTCAACTTATCCAACTGAAAATCCATTTAAATTCCAGGTTGTAAAACAACAGAACAATACCAAGGGGGTGAATACTTTTGCGACCAACTGCATGTGCCTTTTTCAAATTTGTGTTGTACATTTTAAAACAAAGTTAAACTAATTTCTGTTTTTTTTTTCAGGCATCCATGACAGGAAGTACTCTTAGTCTGTACCTGGAGGAGACAAAGGCCAGTGAGGATTCATTGTTTCACTCTGAAATAAGTCCCATAAAGCGAGAGCAAAGTCACAGTGAAACTAAAAACAAAAGCTTGAACTTTTCAACTGGAGCCAGAGATGGATTGTCCAGGACCAAAGGGAACCCCACTGACATGCTGTCGCCTTCTGGATTAGCTCTTCTCAAGGTGATTCATTAAAAATGTCTTAGATTTGTGTGTGTAATGCACTGTGTTTAACAGGAAGGTGTTTTAACTTGACACAGCTCACTCATTATCACGAGAAGTCATCTTAAATCCATGTCTTGTTTGCTTCTGGATGAATCTCCTGCTTTCTTACAGAAAACGCCTGAATCCAAAAAGAAAAACACGAGATATGAGATGGAGGCTTGTTGTAAAGACACTGGTTCAGGGCCAGATTAACGTTACTGTTAAGCCATGTTTCAAGTTTTCTAATCGTAATAAACACCTGGTAATACAAGTTTCCATTGAAGTGTACAAATGTGACTTTTTTTTTAATTTGTCCAGTGTCTGAACAAGTCTCCAGAGAGGATGGCTGAACTGGTTTTTACTTGTAGCTGAGCTCTCTGCATGACAAATAGTTGTACTTACAAGCTGATTAAAGATAAATCTGCTGCAGCTTTAAATTTTTGCCAAGAGCCATTTTAGACTTTATGCAACTATAATTTAACCCGTTGTGTGTGTTTTTTAAGGTCTCTATAAGGAAGGATCTTGAGAGTCATGACTTTGGCTTCAGTGTATCAGACGGACTCTTGGAGAAAGGAGTTTATGTGAACATGATCAGACGTGACGGCCCAGCTGACCAGGCTGGGTTAAAACCTTTAGATCGGATCCTTCAGGTAGTTTTTCTCTTTTTTAAAAGACCAAAAGTGAAAGAGGGACAAAATACTACGTGAAAACAATTAAAGGTGATATGATTCTGTCATATTAGAAGTGTTCAAATTGTTGCATACTGTTTGATACAAGACAACAATTACTCTTCATTTTTATTATTCACTACATTTTAATAGTTTTTAAAACTATACATATTTAAAAATAAATGTTCAGTTTATTTAATAGGATAGGCATTTATCTGAGTTCATTATTTTCATTTTTTGGTCATTCTTTTCTTCAGATAAACGAATTTTAAGCCCAGGTCCCCCTTGAAAATGAGATCTTAATCTCAGCTTGGTTTAAAATCTGGTTAAATAAATGAGATGAATGAAATGAAACAATTTTGACATGATATCATCAATTAAAGAAACAAATCTCAAGACTTCATAAAATCAAAAGGTCAACAGCACAAAATCTTTTCTATAAGTTTAGTTGGTTTCTAGAAATCTATGACAAACTGAGGTTAAACAGAGTTGCATAAATACAAATATTCTCGCATGCTTAAAAACAGATTATAATCTGAGTCATTCCAAAAGATGTTTGTTCCAGATTTCTGCTGTGTTTTTTCATTAATAAAGTCTTTGTGATTCTGACCAGAAATAAATGTTCATCTGTGTTAAAATCTGTATTAATACATGTTTTATCATCAAATGATCTTTTTATTATCTTGTTCTTTAATGAACAATACAAACTTAGATTTTAGGTTTGATTTTTTTATTTCTTATAGGCCTTATTAATAATTTGAGCTCATACATGCTTTTCTATGAAAAAAAATGAAATGATAAAATATTGTATATGTTAACTACAACAGATTTACAGATAAAACATTTTATTTTTAGTACCATCTGTGTGATGTTGATTAAAGACCTGATTTAAAGCATTTTTTTGTATTTTCCTTGAGGCCTTTTTCACAGTTTATTTCCTGGCAGCTCAAAAACTAAAAATGAACACCAAAAGAATAAAACCTCCCAAAACAAGAAAGCTTCTAATATCTGATAAATGAAAAGGAAATGCCTTTAGTTTTTTTTTAAAAGACAAACTATATAATTAAAAAAATCCAATTAATAGGACATAAAAATAAATGTGTGCATCAAAACTATTTAAACTCTGAGCTCTGAAGCAATAAAGCTCCCTGCTTGGATCTGAAGTAACACATAGCTGTTTCAGTCTCCGTGCTTTAATGTATCCTGTGTTTGAATGTAAACGACAATAAGCAATGGTTGAAAAAAAGTGGCTATAATTCTTTTTTATTTGTAAATTTTTTTTCTCCCAGGTGAACCGAGTGAGGACGAGGGACTTGGACTGTTGTCTAACTGTGCCTCTCATTACGGAGGCCGGAGACTGCCTGGATCTGGTCATTAGCAGGAATCCGCTGGCAGCCGCAGACGTGGAGCTGCCCAGCGACTGTGACGAGACTTCAAACTCACTGCTCTGCTTTGCCAACTACAGGACCAACAGCATCGCTCTGTGAGCACAAAGGAGGCCGTGGAACACAGCAGCACCGGGACCACACACACACACACACACACACACACACACACATTACACAAGGTCTGAAAGCTACAATGTGACAAATTTAACCAAGAAAACATCCCTCACGTCTAAAATTATAAATGCTTTTGTTCACAATTGACACTTTTAATCACAAAGATGCAGTTTTTTTTTTTTCAGAAAATTTTGGCTTCTTTCCTTTTTCTTTCCTCAATCTCCAACATGTGAGGTTATATAATCGGAGCTTCTGATGGGGCCAAGATGTCGACATTCATGTTCACATTCATAGTTTTAAGCTTTATGTTCTCGTTGTACACATTTCTTTGACTTTTATTTATTTATTTTATTTATTTTATGCACAAATGGCTTTGTGTTCATGTCAAAGCACTCACACAGACCTGCGGGTCTCAAGGTTTGCGGGGTCGTTGCACTTATTTGAGTTATTTCGGCCACCAGTTGGCTCACTGCCTTCGTTTCCAGTCTCTACCCAGCACTGCTCGCCCTAAAGAGGGGACCGGGCCTCCAAATAGACAGAAAGCTCTTTGAGACTCACTAGCTATCAACAACTATATTTTAAAGCCTGTTCTATCTGAGCACCACAAATGCACGAGGTCACCCTAACATTTTCTGTTTACAAATGTCCTTGATTTAAATTTTTTTAATTATGACACTGATTCACATTTACAAAAAGTTGGTTTTCAAGGTTACAATTTGCACGTTTCTGGACACGAATCACTTTTTATTCTTCATGTCCTAAAAGGTGAAATCTTCATTTCACAGATGTTTCTGCATGAGCTGCTTTTTGCTCACGTGTTCACTAATATCTGCCGCAGAGGCTTTTCTGGGGATGATTATTTTCTATACCACCGAGTTATTTTTTTATTTGATTTAATTTTTTTTAAGGAAATGTGACTTGACCTGGAAACAAATGTTGTATTTCCCGTGTTGGCTGTCAGCTGTTTGTTGAATCGTCCTGTTTGTAGCAGCCTTGGAGGGTAATTTATTGTTGGGACCTGTCTTTGATTAAATGTCATCATATATTAAAAATGCCTATTTTTAAGGTTTTCTGTTGATTTTCTGTGTTGCACCTTTTAATTTATTGCTAAAATTATCTTTATGTGCAGTGTTTTTTATTTTTCTGTTCAGGTACACAGGATTCAGTTTCTTTGTACAAACTGTAGGAGTGAATGTGGTTGTAAGTTGTATTTTTTAAAACTTGTTTTCACATTTTGCCTCACAGTATGTTATCAGGTTGAAAGAACATTATTATTATTATTATTATTATTATTATTATTTGCTTTTTTCCATCCTTTTTGAACTTTAAATAAAGGTAGACCATATTTTAGCCATTTGTGCAGTTTAGTTGAGCTCAGCATGTTGAATTTTCTCACAAGGTTTAATAAACCAACACTTACTGTGGAAAATAAAAATCTACACACCAATATTAAAATGCCAGGTTTCTATAATATATAAAGTCAAACCAATACATTGATTCCAGACATTTTCTACTTTTACTGTGTGTTACAACAAGCTTACAAACAAAATCAGCCGTGGGTGAAATATCTAAAAAGATGCAATAAGCCAGTATAATACACTGCAAAAAACTGTCCACCTGACCAAGTTTTAAAATCTTATTTCCAGCCAAAAAGTCTTTTTGATCTTGTTTTGAGACTGATTTACTGAACAAGAACTGATTGTGTAAGAATAATAATCTTGTTTTCAGAATGTGTCAGATTATTTGTCTTTTTAGTCTGAAAATTTGATTCAAATTAAGTCAAAAATTTCTGCCAATGGAGTAAGAAAACTTTACTTGGTAAGTTTCTTAAAATACTTGATTTGACTCATTTTTTTTCTTATTTCAAGAATCTTATCAAGTAAAACTTTCTTACTCCATTAGCAGAAATTTTGACTTAATTTGAGTCAAATTTTCAGACTAACAAGACAAATAATCTTACAGATTCTGAAAACAAGATTATTATTCTTACACAATCAGTTATTGTTTAGTAAATCAGGCTCAAAACAAGATCAAAAAGACTTTTTGGCTGATATAAGGTTTTAAAACTTGGTAAGATGGACAGTTTTTGCAGTGTAGGTGTTCTCCATTTAATGTAATCACATGTTGAAGCACCTTTTGATTTAGTCACTAGCTTTGCTCTTCCTGTGAACACATCTGCCGTCAAAGTGACTCTGATCAACCTGAAAAGTAAAGTTCAGCTGTCCTTGAATTTTCATGACATTTATTTTATGTCCTCCAGCGAAAGCCAAGGTTCATAGAGCTCAGAAAGTATCAAAAAGACCAATGCTACAAAGAATCAGAAGGTTAGATGACCCCCCCCCCTCCCACCGCCTTGCATAATCAGTGGAGCACAGTGAAGGGAGTCATCAAGAATGGTAAAAATGTAGGTGAACAGTGACATTGCAAATGAAACGTTCCTCTGAAACTGATAAAAAGACAAGACAGAAAAGCATTCATTGTGTTCTGCATGTGACATTCTACTATGTTCTTAAAAAAACAACATCCAGGCTCCGTCAAATATGTAGTAAAATGTGCAACGTGGTGATTTTCAACTTTTGTATCCACAATTCTACAAGGTCTGTTCAGCTCAGGAAGAATGCACATGCCCACAGTGAGACAAGGTGGTGGCAGCATTATAGTGTGGGCTGCTTTCCTTTAGTTCAGGGGTGTCAAACTCCAGTCCTCGAGGGCCGCTATCCTGCATGTTTTAGAGCAGGGGTGTCAAACTCCAGTCCTCGAGGGCCGCTATCCTGCATGTTTTAGAGGTTTTCCAGCTCCAACACACCTGATTCAGTGATTGAATTAACTCTTCAAATTGGGCAGAAGCCTGTTAATTACCCAGCGATCAAAATCTGGTGTGTTGGAGCAAGAAAACCTCTAAAACATGCAGGATAGCGGCCCTCGAGGAGAGGAGTTTGACACCCCTGCGAGTTGGATTTGGGCTTTTGATCAAGGTGGCTGGAATGATAAGCAGCTCTAAATATCTTTTATTTTTATCTAACCCTATCTTCAGGTAAATTTGGTTTCACCAGAATATATTGAAGATTTGGAGAACTTCTTACACATAGTGTGAATCTATGGAGCAGAAAGTTTGTGGAATGAGATGAAGACACATGTGTACAAGAGAAAACTGCACAGTCGACAAATGTTACCAAGTCAAGCTGTCATCTGAAGATTAACTCCTAGAGGACTGAATGTTGTAAATAAATCAAAAGGTGCTTCAACAAATTAAATCAAACTTATGGTATGTCTATAAACACTAACAGCTGCCATAGGCCAAGGAGCTGCACACAAAAACAGTTCATTCGCCCATTAGCTCATCAATATAACAAAAAAAATTTAAGAAATGAGATTAATTCTGACTGGGCTGACGAGCTAATGGCTAGTCCATGAGCAGCCGGGACCAGAGTGGCTCAGAACAACTCAGATCTCAATGTTTAGTTTTACAACAAAATATTTAAAAAATAAAACAAAAACATGACCAAACAAAATTAAAAGAATTAATATCGACTCTCGTGTTATCTAAAGATTGCAAATGAAGAAGAAACCTAAAAAGTCTAAGAGTTAAGGCCTGTCTGACATAAAGTGTCAGCTGGTTCCACAATTTAGGAGCTACAGTCTGATCCGATCACCTCTGTGGACTGGCCTGCAACTCAGGACAGGTAAAGGAACCTAGAGGTCACATAAGGCTGCAGAAGGTCAGATACATATACAACGGGTAAAATAAGTATTGAACACGTCAACATTTTTCTCAGTAAATATATTACTAGAGGTGCTAATGACATGAAATTTTCACCAGATGTCGGTAAC